TCCATCTACCCACCCATCCTCCCACCCATCCATCCACCCATCCATCCTCCCACCCATCCATCCACCCATCCATCCACCCACCCATCCATCCACCCACCCACCCATCTGTCCATCCATCATTCATCCACCCATCCATTCATCCATCTACTCATCCATCCACATACCCACCCACCCATCCATCTACCCACTCAACCACCCACCCATCCATCCACCCACACATCTATCCATCCATCCATCCATCCATCTATCCATCTATCCATCATCCATCCATCTACCCATCTATCCATCATCCATCCATCCACCCATCCACCCATATATCTATCCATCCATTTATCCATCTACCCTGGTATGTGTTGTACAGGACTGTACTCTATGCCAGACAGACACCATCTTCCTGAGCTCAGCTATACCTGCTTATAGAAGATCACAGTTGGTCTTGTTGGCTGTTGATGTCCCCACATAGAGGAAGCATCAAGGAGGGCCATGGGACCCTCACCTAATTATTCAGCCACTCTTCCCAACCTGGTGTGGGCATTTAGGCCTAATTGTACCTGGCCTCTGGGAAAGGCTAGAGTTATATGGGCCAGGAAAGACTAAGGGAGGAAGGCTTCCATTTATGCAGCTATTGGGAAGCCATCATCCATGCTGAGGGAAGACCTTCTGGTGTGGCTTAGGGGGAGCACCACATTCCTGTAAGCAACCCCTCACCCATGGTCTGTAAGTAACCCCTCACCCGAGGTCTGTAAGTAACCCCTCACCCGTGGTCTGTAAGCAACCCCTCACCTGTGGTCTGTAAGCAATCCCTCACCCATGGTCTGTAAGTAAGCCCTCACCCGAGGTCTGTAAGGAACCCCTCACCCATGGTCTGTAAGCAACCCCTCACCCGTGGTCTGTAAGTAAGCCCAATAAACTCAGTGGTTCCCAGGGTGAACTTTGGTGGAATCGTACCTCGGATTGTCATTGGGACCAAGGGAAGATGGGATAGACATTGTTCACATCTTCCATCAGGAAAGGAGTTTTAGCATCTATCCACCCATCCACCCATCTATCCATCATCCATTCATCCACCCACCCATCTCTCCATCATTCATCCATCTACCCGTCTATCCATCATCCATTCATCCACCTATGCATCTCTCCATCTATCCACCATCCATCATCCATTATCTACCCAGCCATCCATCATCCATCCACCCATCTATCCATCATTCATTCATTCATCCACCCACCCATCTCTCCATTCACCCACCCAGCCATCATCCATCCACCTACCTAGCCATCATCCATCCACCCATCTATTCATCATCCATTCATTCATCCATCCACCCACCCATCTCTCCATTCACCCACCCACCCATCCGTCCATTCACCCACCCAGCCATCATCCATCCACCTACCCATCCATCATCCATCCACCCATCTATTCATCATCCATTCATTCATCCATCTATCCATCATCCACCCACCCACCTATCTCTCCATTAATTCTTCCATCTCATCTGTCCATCATCCATTCACCCACCCACCCATCCCTCCATTCACCCACCCAGCCATCATCATCCATCTACCCATCTATCGATCCATGACATGCCAGGCACTGTGCAAGGCACCAAGGACAGATGACTGAAGAAAACAGAGCTCTTCCACCAGCCACTCACGTCTCACTCAGGCTCTCCCCTCCTCCCTCCATCTTCTCCTGCCTTAGATCCCTTAACACCTTTGAGATCCACTCAGCATCCTTGCTTGTGGAAGAAGCCATCCCTGATAATTTTCTCAGCGCACAGCACCTTGGACTTGCCTACATGGTCCCAAGATGGTCGTCCTCTGCCTACTTGACATCAGCACTCAACATTAACTTTTTAAAAAATGTTTCAAATTTATTTATTATTATTATTTATGTGTATATTTATGTATTTTGCCTGCCTGCATGTAAGTATACCATATGCATGCAATGCCCATGGAGTCCAGAAGAGGGCCTAAAGCCCCTGGAACTGGAGTTGTGGATTGTTGTTAGCCGCCATGTGGGTGCTGGGAACCAAACCCGGGTCCCCTGTAGGAGCAGCCAGTGCTCCTAACTGCTGAGCCATCTCTCCAGCTCCCCCAAATGTTTTTTAAATTACATATTACTATTATTATTATTGGTGTATGAGTGTGTGTGTGTGTGTGTGTGTGTGTGTGTGTGTGTGTGTTCATGTACCATGGTAGGCATGTGTGGATCAAAGGACAACTTTTGGGCGTTCATTGGTTCCTTCCACGTTGTGGGTCCTAGGGATCCAACTCAGATTGACAGCTTCGCAGCAAGTGGCCTCACCTGCTGAGCCATCTATAGCCTGGAAAGAATTTATGAACTGGCTATATGAACTGAGTGGGATAGACATACAGAGCTCGTTCTCTGTCTCCTGTTCCCTTGTCAGTAGTTTGCTCATTCTTCACACTCAGCAGCAAAAACACACCCCTCAAATGTCCCAGATGTATACACAGTCATGGCTAAATCCAGGGCTCCATATTCAGAACCACAAGTCTTTCAAATCAACTCTGCCAGCCTGTGAAGGTGAGCAGGGTGCTTGGCCCTCTCTCAGCCTCCATTTCCTTCCTTTTCAATTGCAGGTAAAGGTTAAAGAAGCAAGCATAACCGCTAGTTTTGATGGCACTGAACACTGTTACTGGAAGCACTTGAGACCCCAGCCCCTCACTGGGGGAATTCTAAGTGCTTGCTGTGCAAACATGAAGAACAAAGTTTGATCCCCAGAATTCATGTAAAAAAGCCAGATGTTGGGTGTGGTGGCGCATGCCTTTAATCCCAGCACTTGGGAGGCAGAGGCAGGTGGAACTTTGTGAGTTCGAGGCCAGCCTGGTCTACATAGTGAGTTCCAGGACAGCTGGGGCTACAAGGAGGCTCCGGCTCAAAAAGGCAAAAAAAAAAAATTTACAGCCACTTTAGCTGGGCGTGGTGGTGCACGCCTTTAATCCCAGCACTCAGGAGGCAGAGGCAGGCGGATCTCTGTGAGTTCAAGGCCAGCCTGGTCTACATAGTGAGTTCCAGGACAGCTGGGGCTACAGAGAGACCCTGTCTCAAAAAGACCCCCCCCAAAAAAGCCAGATGTGATGGGACCCACCTTTAACCCCAGCGCTGAGGAGGTGGACACAGGCAGGTCCATGGGGCTTGCTGGCCAAAAAGGCCAGCCTACTTGGCCAGTCCCAGGTCAGAGGAATGACACCCCAAGATTGACCTCTGATTCCACACTCTGCACCCATACACAAACATGGACACACACCTACACACACAAAGTCACCTCTGTCTTTCAGGGTGGTAATAGCACAGGCCAGTAATTCCAGCACTCAGGAAGCTGAGGTAGGAGGATTACAAGTGTCGGGCTTGCCTGGGCTTTACAGTGAAACCCAATGTCCAAACAAGGAAATGAATTTTAAAATCATCCTATTTCCAGAGAGGGACGCTGAGGTATGGGGAACAGAATTAACCCATCCAAGCTTGTACAGCATGCTGAGCTGGCGTTTAAAAATGAATGCTGTTTCCTAAGTCGCACAGACAGCCAGTTCCCACTACAGCTGCCTCCCAATGTTGGGGCCGCCTCAGAATCACAGTGTTTCTTTGGAAATGTGTCATGCGAGGCTGGCAAACCCATCTGTGTGCACATCTCTGGGTATACGTCACAGTCTGTGTCTCCCTGTGGGATGGTGCTCCCGTGGACCCTGGGCATGCAGAGCTGGATGGCTTGGAATGGGAGTCAGCCTTGAGAGTGGACACTGAGGCCATGCACACCCTGGGTTGTTGGATGCCTATAGACATTTCCCCAAACTCCTATGACAGAATGCCAGCAGAATGAGCATGGGACCCTGGGTGAAGCCCAGGTGTTTCTGGAGGGCCCTGTGGTATAAGTGACTGCCACAACAGGGGAGGGCCATCTAGTTAGAAGGGTTATTTTGAACCCAGGACCTCTGGCATGCTAGGCAAGCACTACTGCTAAGCCACACTCCCCAGCCCCTCACTGAGGGATCCTAGGCGGGGACTCCACCACTGAGCCTCACCCCAGCCCCTCACTGGGGGATCCTAGGCAGGGGCTCACTGAGCCACACCCCAGCCCCTCACTGGGGGATTCTAACCAAGCACAGTACTGAATTACATTCCCCAGCCCATTTAAAATTTTGAGATAGTCTAAGTTACCCAGACTGGTCTTAAACTCACTCAGTAGCCCAGGCTGGCTTTGAATTTGCTGTCCTACTCCCTCAGCCTCACAAGTCGCAGGAATGAGAAATCTCTGGCCATGAAGCGTGGCAGCAAACAATCTTTCAGTTGGAAACTGTCTATTTGGTGTCACTGGTTAGGGAAAAGAAAGGACAGTAGCAATGATGGGTGAGGTAGGGAATTCCAAACTTCCTCTCTGGACTGCACCTGTGTAGCCAGGATTTAGTTTCCATGGGCCTCGATTGTTCTGTGAAATGGGAATAGCATAATTGCCCCTATCTGGGAGCCAAAGTGTAGATTCGGTGAGGAGATGCTTTCAAAGCTCTTAGCTCCTTATCACTGAGCAATGATCATTAACCGCTATTAATATAATACGACACTGGCCGCTTTTAAGTATTCGTTAAGGACTTACTTGCACCAATCTTTGATGTATATTGACTGTTGGTGTTTTTTTCAACTACAACCTTTAGGAAGCACGTCATTGTATTTTGCTGGGTTTCAGGTGTTCCACCAAGTCGACGATGGCAGGCCTCCTCCTGCAGCGTTCTTGGCTGCAAAGCTCTGAGGTCCTAGGTGCTGAGAGGAGTGGCTGTGGTCCCGGGACATCTAAACCCCAGATCTCGTGGGTCCCAGGTGGCCTAGCACCGGGATGGAGTCCTGCGGCCCCGGTTCCCGGGCAGTGTCTCCTCTGCCTTTACAAGCTGCGGGCCTGGGGAGTTTGGCTTTTGGGCCGGGAGGGTTCGCAGGGGCGGGGGGGGGGGGGGGGGGTGTGGGAGGGGAGGAGCCGAGGAGCTGCGGCGAGGAGGAGCCAGGCGCGTACCGCGGCGGGCGCGTGGGGCTGCGGCGGCCGCGGCTCCGGTGAGTCCGCCCCTCCCCCTCCCCAGCCCCCGCCCCAGCCGCATTCCGGGGTGGGGATGGAGTATGGGGGGGGTGGACGGCACCGAGCCGGGGCGGCGCGGGGAGGAGGCGGTGCAAAGAGGGGCGCATCTCTACATGGGGAGCGGGACTCTGCAGCACCCGCTGGCCGCACCGGGGGAGGAGCACGTGGCACGGGAAAAAGAGAGGGTCCTCATCCCCAAACACCTTGAGTGCACCCCGCCCCTCGCCCACCCATCTCCAGGGCGTGGGGATCCGTGACCCATCCCATAGCCTCTAAGTGCTTAGAGCCGCGTGACCCCTCGAGGTCCTAGATACTGTTAATCTCCCCTGCAGTGTCTTGGGACCCTCGCATTTTACCCCCTCCCCCCTTCCCCCTCCCCCCCAAAAAATCCCATCTTCTGCAACCGAGGCATTAAGGACTTCAACTCCCAGAAGCCCTTGCAGCTCCGGGGCGATGAAGCCACAGCCGCGCGAGCGCAAGGCCTACTGGGAGTTGTAGTCATTAAGCGTTTAAGCAGAAGCTGGCGGCCCCGAGGTGGGAGGGGGCGGCTGGACCTCTCCGGGGTCGCCTGGGGTCGCGCAGCTAGTTCGAGTAGGGCAAGATGCAAGGTTTGGGATGAGTTCTTTTTCACACCCAGCCTGGGTCCCCAAATCAGACACCACCCCTCCTTTTCTTCCCACCTGGCAAGCTTGCGTGGGGACCGGTCTGCAGCGGCTTGTCCACCCTGCAACCCCCATGGACTGCCGCCCGCCGCCGTCACCGCTGCCACCTAGGGCAAGGCAGGGATAAGCACAGGTGAGTGTGACCGAGGCCGAGTGGTGAGTCTTGCCCAGCACCCCCACTTCACCTGCCTCTCCCAGGCAGAGCCCTGACCTGTCCGGCCCTCATTCTATCCCTCGGTCCTCCTTCCCACTCAGGTCTGATGTCAGCCCCCAAGTCCTGTGTCACTCTCTCCTACCTCCACCTCTCCCCCTGTTCCCTCTGATTTCTGATCGCATCTACCCTTCCCTTCCGGACCCCCATCTGTCTGTCTGTGTGTGCCCAGCTCTCCCCTCTCCCCTTGTGCCTGTCTAGGGTCTCCGGCCATTGTCTGGCTGTCTGTCCTGTAATTCTGCACCGTCTCTTTCCCCGGATCCCCTGTCTCTGTCTTTGGAAGACGTTCCTGCCCACACACCTGCCCCTCTTCACTTCTGTGAACCATGTCTTGGCCATAATGAAGTGCAAGGCTCTGTTTTCTGGGTCTCTCCATCCTGAAGCTCAAGGGTCCCCGTTCCTTCTGTGCTTCTGTCCATCTTTTCCTGGATACCAGACTTCACTTTGCTCTGTTATCTCTATCTCTCCTTCCCTCAACTTACAACCTTTCTCCATCTCCCTCCTTCCCTCCCTCCCTCTTCCCCCTCCCCCTGGCTCTTTCTCCTTCCTTTGATCCTCCAGCGGCTCTCCTACCCTAAGCCCCCTGCCCATGCTTTTCCACCAACCCCAAATGCCTTTCCCCACCACAGCTTGGTGCCCACTGCCCATGGCTGCCGGTACGTTCTTTGAAACACGGGGTGCCTGCCCTGACTGCCACCCTCCTGGTCCTCCTGGGGGCACGTCCTCTGTTTCTTTTAAGGCACTTCTTTTGGTCTGAGAATGTCCTGTCTTTTGGTGTGAGACCTGTCTGCTCTTTGACCCCTTTCATTGGATGGTGACCCCTGAAAGCGACCCTAACAGTTGTTCTGTGTTTTCTTCCTTGAATCCTGGCCCCTGAGCCATCCCCCTCTGCCCTCTGTTGCCTTACCAGGTCCTTTCTCCCTCCTTACCCTCCCCAACTTGTTCCCATCCCCATCTGCATCTTTGTCCACCACTCACAGGACCACTCAGTCACCATGTCTGGGGACTACGAGGATGACCTGTGCCGGCGGGCCCTCATCCTAGTCTCTGACCTCTGTGCACGGGTCCGAGACACGGATACCAATGACAGGTGCCAAGAGTTCAACGAACTGCGAATCCGAGGCTATCCCCGGGGTCCAGACGCAGGTCAGAATTCCCAGCTCTCCCAACCAGCCACTGTCTTCTTGACTCCATGACAGACAACACTCTGGCCTGCTCGGCTTCCATCCCTTTTATGACCAGTCCCACTGAAAATCATGCCTCTGGATGGCCTGCTACCCTGTCCCCAAACCGCTGAACTAAGGGACATAGTTCATTCCACCTGCCCCCCTGAGCATTTGAGTTTTTCCCTGTGGGCCTCCCCTTCCTATTTACAGCCACCAGAGATTCCCTTAAATATCTTTGAATCCTTTCCTCTCTCTTTTTTGGGGGGAGGGGGGAATGGGAATCAGACAGGGCCTTATGGAACTCAGGCTGACCTTGAACTTGACTTGCAACAATCCTCCTGCCTCAGTCTCCCGAGTGCTGGGGTTACAGGTATACACTACTGCATCTAGCTCTGTGAGAATTTATTACTCCAAAGAGTTGTGATCTAAACCATCCAAACACTAAGGTGCGGGGAGCAAAGTCCTGGAGAAACCAGGCATAAGGATCCACCGTCCTCATCGGGGGCAGTCACAGGTTGTGTTTAATTTTCCTGCCATTGAGTTGCGGCCTGTGGCCCACCGGGGCAGGTCGCCTAAGCCTCAGGGTTCAGGGTCCTTGTGTCCTTGTAGGAGTTTGGTCACCTAAGGTAACCTGACTTTTGCATTACCATGGCCCCAGTAACAGATGGAAACAGCTTCAAGGAGAGAAAATTGATTTGACTCATAGTTTCAGAGATGTTGGCCCATTACTGTGGGGAGAAGCCCAGTTCACTAGCTGGCTCTCTCCCTTTATTCATTGTATTTGAGTTCCACATTCAGGGTGGGTCTTTTCCCTCCCTTAATCCTCTCTGGAATGGTCCTCATAGACAGAGGTGTGCCTGGGTGTTTTGGGTGATTCTAGTGTTGTATGTACATGTCCGTGGTGTGCAGATATGTGTGTGTGTGGTTGTGCACATATGCGCACTGTGTCTGGATGCCAGAGGGAAACTTTGGGCTTTGTTTTTTAGGAGCTGTTTTATTTTTTGAGGCAGAGTCTCTCACTGGCCTGGAACTTGCAAAGTGGGTTAAACTGGCTGACCAGTGAGCCCCAGGGACCCACCTGTCTCTGCCTCCCCAGTGCTGGGGCTACAAATGTGCACCACCATGCCTGGCTTTTTATGTGAGTTCTGAGGACCATGTTTGCAAAACATGCTGTTTTGAGAGAGGGTCTCACTCTGAAACCAAGACTGGTCTGGAACTCACTATGGAGTCCAGGTTGGCCTCAAATTCACAGCAGTCTGACTACCTCTGCCTCCCAGGTGCAGGAATGACAGGCATGCCACCATCCTAGCTCCAAGGTGATTCTAAAGCCAGTTAAGTTGCCTATGAAGATTTGCCATCACACACAAATGTGGCCTATTGCACATGTGGCAGGCCACCATCTTTAGTCTTTCCAGACCACAGGCTGATGGCCCCTGGCTCCCACCATAACTCACAGCACTGCCATAGACTGGCCACCCAGCATGACCCAAGACAGTTAGCCAGTAGGACATTGCAAGGGCTTGCAGCCCTGGCCCATCTACCTGTCTTGACAGGTTTCCCACCAAGGAATTGGCCAGGCTCTGGCAGAGTGGATCTGTTGCTCGGTAACCACATACCTGGTCTGTATAGATAGGAACAAGGAGCCAGGAAAGCTTGGGGGACCCATGGTTCCTCCCCCAGCCTCTGATGGGGGTCATATTCAACTGGCAATGTGGGAAGTGTCTGGCCAGTTTCCTTTGCCATGCCCCTTGTCCTGACACCTCCTGTGTGCAAAAGGCTGTAAAAATCATGACTTCTGGCCCCCATCAGTCCACAGGCTGGCGTGTGGTCCTGCAGTCTTACTTCCTCTGTCTCCCACAGCCTCAGTCTTCTTAGCTGGGAGAAGGGATGAATCACATGTAAGTTACACAGAAGTGTGAGGATTAATGTCACACACCGTGTCTACGTCACCAGGTGTTATAGAAGTGGAGGTTGTCTCCTTCCTTTTGTGTAGCCCCAGAAGAAGGCTGTTCCACTCAGCTGTCCATGCTGGCAGTGGCTGAGCCCCCTGTACCCCCACCATAGTCTTCCATGTGAATAAACCTGTCCTCACTCCACCTCCAGTACCAGCCTTTAAAATAGATGCTCATGGGCTGGAGAGGTGCTCAAAGGTTAAGAGCACTGGCTACTCTTGCAGAGGATCCAGGTTTGATTCCCAGCACTCACATGGCAGCTAGTAACTGTCTATAACTCCAGTTCCAGGGACTCTGATGCCCTCTTCTGTCGTCCACAGGCACTGCATGACACAGGTGCACTTACACACATGCTGACATAACACTCATATACATAAAAATAAGTAAATAAATAAATTTTAGAATTAAAATAGATGCACATGGCTGGAGAGTTGTTTCTACAAAACCCTATTCCTGGTAGTGATTACCAAAGCACCACAAAATATTGGTTATAACAAGTGGGCTATGCTGGACTCTCTCCAAAATGGGGAGGTGTGTTACTGGTGTTCAGAAGGCACTAGGCAGGGGGGTAGATCATGCAATGGTAGCTCTTGGACTGATTATCTGAACAGAAAGTCTCACTGAGGCCACCATCCACTGGGAATATTGAGGTGTGGAAAGAGCATAAGTTCTGAAGTGTGGCACCATGGATCACGTGTGTGTGTGTGCACATGCACATGCACGTGCAGGTCAGAGGTCAGCCTCAAGTGTTGTTCTACCTTGTTTTGTTACTTTAATTTTTTATTATTATTTTATTTTATGTGTATGAATGTATTACCTGCATGGATGTAAGTGCACCCATGTCACGCAATGCCCACAGAGGCCAGAAAAGGGTGTTGGATTCCTAGAACTAGAGATATAGATGGTTGTTAGCTGCCATATGAGTGCTGGGATTCAAACCCAGGTCCTCTGCAAGAGCAGTCAGTGCTCTTAACTTCAGAGCTATCTCTCCAGCCCCATTCTGTTATTTTTTAAAGATTTTGTTTTATTTTGAATTGTGGGTTGTGTGCATGTGTGTGGGTATGTGCACATAAGTGCAGGTACCTGGGGAGTTCAGAAGAGGGTGTCTGAGCCCCTGGAGCTGGAATGTGGGTGCTGGGTACCAAACTCAGGTCTTCTGCAAGAGCAGAACGTGCTCTTAACCACAGAGCCGTCTCAGCCCCCCCCCACACACACCTTGCTTTTTGAGGCAGGCTCTCTCACCAGCCTGGGGCTCATTGCTGAGGCTGGGCTGGCCAACTAGCAAGCGCCCAGGGATCCACCTGACTCTGCCTCCCCAGCACAGGGATTGGACATGCCATCATGCCCAGCTTTTTGTTTGTTTCTAAAATGTGGGCGCTGGGAATCTGAAGTCAGGTCCTCACCACCGCAGGCGGCAGACTCTGTCTTTGGACCTCAACTTTCTGTTGCACAGAATGGGAATAATTACATTGTTGGTCTCGCTGAGTATCCCAAGATGTCTGCTGGGTTATCACCTCTGAACATTGTATTTGACCTGTCATTTTCCTTCCTCCTTCCTGTCAACCCATACACAGAGGAGGGTTGATGGATTCCCTTTGCCAAGTGCAGAATGTAAGCCTCAGAGAAGTTAAGGCAGATTCCTAAGGCTGCACAGCCAGGCTCCCCCAGATCATCTCCAAGCCTGTGGGGGTCTTGTGCCTCAGGGTAGGCAGTGTGACAGCCAGATGAAGTCAGCAGGCTCTGGAGCATCTTCCCAGCCTGCGGCTCAGGTCTGTCATGTGCCACCTACAGAACAGGATGTGAACCCTGCAGTCTCTGTAAAATGGTTCTGTGGCCACAGTTTCCCCTGAGGGGTGTGCGGTTCAAATCTGGTTGGGACGGTTGGGGGGGATGGCTTCTGTGTGACTCCCCCATGACCCCTGACCGCTCTCCTCTCTCTTTCCAGACATTTCCGTCAGCCTGCTGTCAGTCATCGTCACTTTCTGTGGTATCGTCCTCCTGAGTGTCTCTCTATTCGTGTCCTGGAAGTTGTGCTGGGTGCCCTGGAGGGACAAAGGCGCCTCGGCAGTGGGCGGTGGCCCCCTACGTAAAGACCTAGCCCCCGGGGTTGGGCTGGCCGGCCTGGTAGGAGGCGGTGGGCATCACCTGGGGGCCGGCCTGAGTGGCCATCCTCTGCTGGGCGGCCCACACCACCATGCGCACACGGCCCACCATCCGCCCTTCGCGGAGCTGCTGGAACCAGGCGGGCTTGGGGCCTCTGAGCTTCCAGAACCTTCCTACCTAGACATGGACTCCTATCCAGAGGCTGCCGCAGCTGTTGTGGTAGCTGGTGGGGTTAAACCCAGTCAGACGTCGCCTGAGCTGCCCTCCGAGGGTGGGGCAGGCTCGGGGCTACTGCTGTTGCCTCCCAGTAGTGGGGGCTTGCCCAGCGCACAGTCCCATCAGCAGGTGACAAGCCTAGCACCCACCACCAGGTGAGAGAAATGGTCTGGCGGGGGTCCACTGTAAACGTCCGATTTTCTTCTGCGTCTCTTTCTTACGATGAAACTTCTGATAATCAGGGTCAGGATGGATAGGGATGGAGAGCTGCCTCCTGGTTCCCAGGGAATGAAGGGGCTGAGATCACAGACTCCGGGATCTGAGGGAGGATGGGCTGAAGGTAACCTAGAATCCTTGAAGCTTAAGAGAAGGGAACTGTAGCCTGGAACCCTAGGTTCAGAGAAAGAAGTCACCTGGAGAGGATTGTACAGTTGATAACTGGGTGTGGTGGTAAATACATGTCTCCCCAGACACTGAGGACAGGAGACGGCACATCTAAACTTCAAGGCCAGCCTGGGCAACGTAGTAAGACTGTCTCAAAATAAAAAGTGAAAAGAGGGCTGGGGTGTGATTCAGTGGTGGAGCCCCTGCCTAGGATCCCCAGTGAGGGGCTGGGGTGTGACTCAGCGGTGGAACTCCTGCCTAGGATCCCCAGTGAGGGGCTGGGGTGTGGCTCAGTGGTGGAGCCCCTGCCTAGGATCCCCCAATGAGGGGCTGGGGTGTGGCTCAGCGGTGGAGCCCCTGCCTAGGATCCCCAGTGAGGGGCTGGGGTGTGGGTCAGTGGTGGAGCCCCTGCCTAGGATCCCCCAGTGAGGGGCTGGGGTGTGGCTCGGCGGTGGAGCCCCTGCCTAGGATCCCCCAGTGAGGGATCAGGGTTAGTGCTCTGACCCAACTTACAGAAAGTTGTGGATTCAGTCCTCAGTGAGTGGAGAGGAGAGAGACCTGAGCTGTAGGGAATTGCTCTAGGCTGTTGTTCACCGGACTTGAAACTTACCTCCTGTTCCCATCCTTCTTTCTCGTTCTGTGCATTGTGTTCAGGACCTGGTAGGGGCTGGGCTTGAGCTGCACACTGTGCCCAGGCCTGCACCCTCAGAACTCTCACAGTTGGAGAGCTAGGGGAGAGCTGGGGAGACAGGGACCAGCCTCAACCAAGAACAGGAGTATTGGTGATGGAGAACTGGGAGCAGGCTGGGGAGGTGGGGGGACCGGCAGAAGAGGACTTTCAGGGTTTGGGGCCAGCTTGGAAATGGGGAGAGTACCCCTGATGCAGGTGGGGTGTCCTAGTTTGTCTCTCCATTGCTGTGAAAAAACACTCTGAGCACTATCAACTTGGGGAGGAAAGGGCTTATTTAGCTTACATATACCAGGTCACAGTTCATCAGGGAGCCCAAGGTAGGAACTCAGGGCAGGAACCTGGAGGCTGGAGCACAGGCCATGGAGGAACGCTGCTTACTGGCTTGCTCTCTGGCCCTTGCTCAGCCTGATTTCTTATGCAACAGAGGCCCACCTGCCCAGGGGTGGCACCACCCACAGTGGGCTGGGCCCTCCCACATCACTCAGCGATCAAGAAGGTGCCCCATGGACATGGCCACAGGCCAGTCCAATGAAGGCAATTCCCCAACTGAGGCTCCTTCAACCCAGATGTGTCAAGTTGACACTAAAGCTATCCAGCACATAGGGAAACTGAGGCACGGGAAGCACAAATGGCTTGTCCAAGATCAAATAACCAGTCAACCAGTCAAGGACAGGCTTGGAGGCTACCTGGGCTGGGAATTGGAGGAATCTTGCAGGGTATCACATCTGAACATCACTTGTTTTCCTGACACATAGGTACCCTGCCCTGCCCAGGCCCCTCACCCAGCAGACCCTGACCACCCAAGCAGACCCAAGCAGTGAGGAGCGGCCACCCACCCTGCCCTTACCCCTGCCAGGCGGTGAGGAAAAAGCCAAGCTCATCGGGCAGATCAAGCCAGAGTTGTACCAGGGCACGGGACCTGGAGGCCGGAGGGGTGGCGGGGGCTCGGGGGATACCGGGGCTCCCTGCGGCCGTATCAGCTTTGCCCTGCGGTACCTCTACGGCTCCGACCAGCTCGTGGTGCGGATCCTGCAGGCCCTGGACCTCCCTGCAAAGGACTCCAATGGGTTCTCAGACCCTTATGTCAAGATCTACCTGCTGCCTGACCGGAAGAAGAAATTCCAGACCAAGGTGGGTGAGCAGGGCTGGGTCCTTGGGTGGGAGGGCTGGACCATTAGGCCTAAGGGAGGAGGCTGAGGTCTGGACCCTGGGTCTGAGGGAGGAGAGCTGGGGTTTGGACCCCTAGGTCTAAGGGAGGAGGATGGGGTCTGGACCCTGGGTCCGAGGGAGGAGAGCTGGAGTCTGAACCCCTGGGTCTGAGGGAGGAGAGCTGGGGTTTGGACCCTGGGTCTGAGGGAGGAGGATGGGGTTTGGACCCCTGGGTCTGAGGGAGGAGGATGGGGTTTGGACCCTGGGTCTGAGGGAGGAGAGCTGGGGTTTGGACCCCTAGGTCTAAGGGAGAAGGGTGGGGGCTGGACCCTGGGTCTAGGAGAGCTGGGGTTTGGACCCTGGGTCTGAGGGAGGAGGATGGGGTTTGGACCCCTGGGTCTGAGGGAGGAGGATGGGGTTTGGACCCTGGGTCTGAGGGAGGAGAGCTGGGGTTTGGACCCTGGGTCTGAGGGAGGAGGATGGGGTTTGGACCCCTGGGTCTGAGGGAGGAGAGCTGGGGTTTGGACCCCTAGGTCTAAGGGAGAAGGGTGGGGTCTGGACCCTGGGTCTGAGGGAGGAGGCTGGGGCCTGGACCCGTGGATCTAAGGGAGGAGGCTGGGGAGGTTCCCTGGGTCTGAGAGAGGAGGACTGGAGTCTGGACCTCTGGGTTTGAGGGAGGGGGCTGGGGTCTGGACTCCTGGGTTTGAGGGAAGAGGCTGGGGCCTGGACACTTGGGGAAGACATGGAATTCTTGAACTGCTGATTCTGGCACCAGGTCAGTGGATGTACTGTCTGTCTCCGATTTCCAGGTGCACAGAAAGACGCTAAACCCAGTCTTCAATGAGACGTTCCAGTTCTCCGTGCCCCTGGCCGAGCTGGCCCAGCGCAAGCTGCACTTCAGTGTGTACGACTTCGACCGCTTCTCACGGCATGACCTCATCGGCCAGGTGGTCCTGGACAACCTGCTGGAGCTGGCTGAGCAGCCCCCTGATCGCCCACTGTGGAGGGATATCGTGGAGGGTGGCTCGGTCAGTGGCTCTGTCCCCCATGTGCCCGTGTGCCCCCCATGTCCCCCAGTGGGCACCTCCTTCACCATCTCTTCACTTCCTTCCCTTGTTTTTTGTTTTTTGTCTTTTTGAAGCAGGGTCTCCCTGTAGCCCCAGCTGTCCTGGAACTCACTATGTAGACCAGGCTGGCCTTGAACTCATAGAGATCCGCCTGCCTCTGCCTCCCAAGTGCTGGTACTACAGGCGTGCACCACCACGCCTGACTAACTGTCCCTTGGTTTTGTAAGCAATGTTTTTGGGGGAATATTGCTAGGACAGGAGAAGGATTTGGGGGCTCCCTGTCCTTCTCAACTTCATAAAATAGCATTGGGCTTGGAGTCCAGACTCCCAGTGTCCAACCCCATACCTGAGGACCCCACCAGAGCCCTGTGACTTCTTGCCTCTGACCTGGATGTCTCTCCTGCCCCAGACTTCCTGATGCTCCGACTCTCTCTCTCTCTCTCTCTCTCTCTCTCTCTCTCTCTCTCTCCCCACCGCTACCAACTCCTCCCCTTCAAACCCTTTCACGCTCTTTCCCTCTGTTTTTTTCATGATGTCCCAGGGAATCCAACCAGCCTGGATCCTCTGATATACTGGGGTCCCCACTTCTCCCAGCATCAGATGGAAGAACTCACACCCTTGACTCCCTGTTTTTACAACCTGCAATCTTTGGTCCTCTCCTCCTGTAGCCCCAATCCCATGCCCAGGCCTGGCGGGGTATTCTGAGTCCAGACCCAGGCATCCAGACCCCAGCCTCCTCCCTCAGACCCAGGAGTCCAAACCCAAGCTCTCCTCCCTCAGACCCAGGGATCCAGACCCCAGCCTCCTCCCTCAGACCCAGACATCCAGACCCCAGCCTCCTCCCTCACACCCAGGAGTCCAAACCCAAGATCTCCTCCCTCAGACCCAGGGGTCCAAATCCTAGCACCCCCTCAGATCCAGGGGTCCAGCCCCCAGCCTCCTCCCTCAGACCCAGGCCTCACACCCCAACCCACCACCCTACTGATTCCCACCAGTATGGGGAGCTGGCATTGTGGAATGGGCCAAGGAATGTGCCCACATCAGGAGAGACAGATCTCCACCTCAGTTTCCCTGTCTGTCCAGGGATGTTGTTGAAGCCTGTGTCTACCGGCCCCTCTCTGGGATCTCCAGCTGCTTAATCCATCCCCAGGCCCCCAGCTTTGGGACAAGGAGTTCACATCTGCCCTGCCTCCACCTGAGGCGCCCAGGCCTGGGCATCTGCCTCCATCCTGTCTCCTACCGGACCCCATTTCCTATCAGCACCACCCAAGGCTTTCACTTAGCCAGAGTGGGGGGGTATAGAGATGAAAGAGAGCAACAGAGAGACAGAGACCCAGAGAGAGAGAAACCCAGAGAGAAAGACCCAGAGAGAGAGACACCCAGAGAGACAAACAGACAGAGACAGAAACCCAGAGAGAGAGAGAGAGAGAGAGAGAGAGAGACCCAGAGAGAGTGAGAGAGGGGCAAAGACAGACCTAGAGACAGACCCAGAGAGGTGCTACAGAAACCCAGAGAGGAGGGCGATTTCTCCATGTATAAATCACTTGTGTCAGGGGCTGGTGTTGGGAGACCTGGGGTTCTGGGAGACCCAGGTGCTTGTGAGGCAAGGCTTGAAGGGTCAGGGTGACAGGAGTTTGAGGGGAGGATTTCAGAGGGAGTGGCCAGGGCCGTGTGAATGATGAGAGGCTGGAGGCCAGGTAGCTGGGGATCCCCTCAGGCGTCATGCACCATGTTGGACTGTCCAGAGGCCAGCTGCTGGCCTCTGTGAAGCTGCATTCTGCTTGGTGTGTCCCATCTCTCTAATGACTGCCCTGGGGGGTTCTTCCCATCCTGGATCCACATGACTAGACTGCATGGGGCTGTCTGTCTCCTCCACACGCACCCCAACCACTGACCCTGGACCCCTGCACTGAGCATCTGCTCTGGACTCAGCACTTGCCCCCCCATTGCTGCTTTTTTCTGGGTCTCTGTTCCTCTCTCTAGGTCTCTCTCTCTCTCTCTCTCTCTCTCTCTGGGTTTCTCTCTCTGGGTCACTCTCTCTCTGGGTCTCTCTCTCTCTGGGTTTCTATCTCGGTCTCTCTCTCTCTGAGTCTCTCTGGGTCTCTCTCTCTCTGGGCCTCTCTCTGGGTCTCTCGCTCTCTCTCTGTGTCTCTCTCTCTGGGTCTCTCTCTCTCAGTCTCTCTCTCTCTGGGCCTCTCTCTCTGGGTCTCTCTCTCTCTGGGTGTCTCTCTCTCTCTGGGTCTCTCTCTCTGGGTCTCTCTTGATCTCTCTCTCTCTGGGCCTCTCTTTCTCTCTCTGGGCCTCTCTCTCTCTCTGGGCCTCTCTCTCTCTCTCTCTGGGTCTCTCTCTCTCTCTCTCGGTCCCCCCCCCCCCGCAGAACAAACAGGCTTTCATAGTGGTGGGCAGCTGCGGCTGGGACGGTCCAGTGGAATCTGACAGTTCGTTTCCTGGGAACGGAGTGGTGGTGCAAGGATGTGTAGAGAGGGAGGGGCCGGAGGGAGAGGTGACTGCGCCCGGACCTGTGTCCCACTGCAGGAAAAAGCGGATCTTGGGGAGCTCAATTTCTCACTTTGCTACCTCCCCACGGCCGGGCGCCTCACCGTGACCATCATCAAAGCCTCTAACCTCAAAGCGATGGACCTCACGGGCTTCTCAGGTATGTCGGACACAGTCGAGGGAGGTTGGGGTCTGTGGGAGGAGGCTGGGGTCTGAGGGAGGAGGCACTACTCAGCACCCCACTTCCTACACAGATCCCTATGTTAAGGCCTCTCTGATCAGCGAAGGGCGGCGTTTGAAGAAGAGGAAGACATCCATCAAGAAGAACACACTGAACCCCACGTACAATGAAGCCCTGGTGTTCGATGTGGCCCCCGAGAGCGTGGAAAACGTGGGGCTCAGCATCGCCGTGGTGGACTACGACTGGTGAGGGGCATCCTGCGGTTGGTGAGGCAGGGTGTGGCCAGCCAGTTCCACAACCTGCCCCATAATTACCTCCCCAACCCCCAGCATCGGCCACAACGAGGTGATCGGTGTGTGCCGCGTGGGCCCCGAGGCTGCTGACCCACATGGCCGGGAGCACTGGGCGGAGATGTTGGCCAACCCCCGAAAGCCCGTGGAGCACTGGCACCAGCTGGTGGAGGTGAGTGGGGGTCATGGGTGCTGTGTGTGGACATTGGAGTCTGCTGTGGGTCAGGATGCTGTGTGAGCTGGGGCAGGTGGCTCGGCCTCTCTGCCTCCATGTCCTGTGTCCTGTCCTCTGTCGGGTACCAGCAGGTGCGGCCACTGGGCCACTGCGGTAGGACCAGGTGAGGATTCAGTCTGCTAGGAGCTGCTCTGTCACAGCTGTTCTCTCACAGATGCTAAACAGGAAGGAGATGGGGTGATAGAGGAAGCAGCCCCTCCAGCGAGGTGTGAAAATTAGTAGATTGTGGTATAGCCGGTGGATGGGAAGCAGCAACTTTTTTAATGACTAAGGAAATAATAGAGGCTGTGGAGTGTGGCTTGGTCCCTATCATTATAATGACATCACAATAAAGCCAGAAGATGTCATGGATGATGGTTATTGTAAGATTCCCTGTTGGTCCAGTCTGAGAAGTGGGGGGACTTGGGGCAGTGGGAGGGTGTCCTGGAGGAGGCGACCCTGGGGATGGCTGTGGAGAGGGTTTGGCTGAGTGGAGTGAGGAGGGGAGGGGTCTCAGTGGCAGTGGCCACGTTTTATATTAAAAGCTGCTCAGGCCAGGCATGGTGGTGGTGCATGCCTTTAATCCCTGCATTCAGGAGGGAGAGGCAGGAGGGTTTCTATGAGATGGATGTCAGCCTGGTCTACATAATGAGCTCCAGGCCAGCTGGGGCTGCAGGGAGACTCAGTTCAGGTGCCTCTGGCTTAAGATCAAGTATAAAAGGTGTCTGGTGTTCCCTTGAGGGTGAGTTGGTAAAGCACCTGCTTGCCTCAGGGCAAGCCTGGGGTAAATCCCCAGAACCCATGTGAAAGCCAGGCCTGGTCATGTACCCTGTAACCCCAGCAGTTGGGAGGCAGAGACAAGAAGGATCCCAGGGCTCACCGGCCAGCTGGCCTAGCCTAAATGATGACTTCAGGCTCAGTGAGATCCTGCATCAAAAAATCAGATAGGGCTGGGGATATGGCTCTGCAAACATGAGGACCTGAGTTCAAATCCCCAGCACCCACTAAAAAGCCAGGAATGGTTATGTGTGCCTGTGACCACGGGAATGGTTATCTATGACTGTGACCACAGGAATGGGTCTGGTCTGGCCTTTGCATGTGCATGCACAGGTACACACACAGAATATATGCACCTCACACACATGTGCACATGTGCACACACACACACACACACACACACACACACACAAAGCCAGGTGTGGTGGCATACGCCTTTAATCCCAGCACTTGGAAAGCAGAGGTGGATGGATCTCTATGAGTTTCAGGCCAGCTGGGGCTACAGGGAGACCCTGTCTCAAAAAAAAAAAAAAGGTAGGTGGCTCATGAGGACCGTTACCTGAGGCTGACCTCTGGCCTCTACACATGCACACATGTGTGCACACACACACACACGCACATACAGAGTCATCCTTTGGGCCACAGAAACTGTTAAACATGGCCACTTTCTGGGCAAAAAAAAAGCCCATTTTGAAAATATCATTGAAAAGTTTGTTTCCATTAAAGCCAAGAAAGTAAACATATCATGAATTCCACCTAGCATCTAGAAGGAAGATTTAAACTTTGATAATGTTGATTTCAGTATGAATAATCTTCACTTTTGAGTATTTTTCCATTATTTTGATATTCTAAAGAAAATTCATCCTGATTCATCTTGAAACAGTGCGTTAGCTGGGTGCGGTGACTCACACCTATAAGGCCAGCCCCTGGGGGGGGGGCAAAACAAGAAGACTCAGGTTCCACACCAGCCTGGGCTGCTGAGTAAGACCTTGTTTCAAATAATGAAGCAAACCCAGACCACTCATATACAGGGGCAGGGAGGGACTTTCCTTTGGACCAGCCATCCTTATCAGCCCCTCTTCTGTGGCATTTATTTAAAAAATTGGCACTTTGTCACATTGTTTAAAATCAATATTCAGGTCTTATAAATACTGCATTAAAACATGGGGCTGAAGAGATGGCTCCGTGGTTAGAGCACTGACTGCTCTTGTAGAGGACCCAGATTCAGTTCCCAGCATCCACATGTTGGCTAACTCCATAACTCAAGTTCCAAGGGATCTGACACCCTCTTCTGACCTCCATGGGCATTGCACAACATGGTTACACTCACGTACATGCAGGCAGTACACTCATAAAATAAACGTAATATTTAAAAATAAATATTGCATTAAGATAGTCTTTATCCTGATCACTAATTACAGGCTGAGTGACTTTTCCTGGCCAGATATGAACAAACATCTTCTCACCCCAGATAGGCCACCAGAAACGGACCAAAATCAAATTCTCCCAAGTCCAGCTTAGTGGACCAAGGTGTTCATTGGGGTCACCCGCAGAAGTAGGGGTGAGTCAGGCTACTGCACGGCCATGGAGCCCACATGGTACAAGTGATGACTCTCATGTCGGTGGCCCTGGAGCTCCCTGTGCCACTTGCCCTCAGCCTTGGTTAGCTCCATTCAGGCCCTTTTCCAGGGGAGCTGAACAGCTTGGGCCCAGGGCTCAGCCTCAAGACCTGGAAAGTTGGGGCTCCGCTGTGGGGATGGGGTAGGGCTGTTTCTTCCCTGGCATTCGCAGCTCTAGCCAGTTCACTCATGGCACGACTCCTGTGGACGCGCACAGCTCTCCGGCCCCCAGGACTACCTCAGCCCTCTGAGGCCTGTGTCCTGCCGTCTCTTTCGCCGGCTTTGCTTTCCTCTTATTTTCAGGGATTTGTCTTTTTGTGCCTCAGTTTCCCCATTAGTAGAATGGATGGTGATAGCATGTTCCCATTCCCCTCGGAGAGGAGAGAGGTTAAGACTGTGATCCAGGGTGGAAGCCCCTGCTGGTGGGTAACAGTTTGTTTTCATCACCAACTCTAGGAGAGGACTCTGACCAGCTTCACAAAAGGCAGCAAAGGACTGTCAGAGAAAGAGAACTCAGAGTGAGGGGTGAGACCCCAGAGGGCCCTGGGTCTGAGGGAGGAGGCTGGGGTCTGGACCCCTGGGTCTGAGGGAGGAGGCTGGTGAGGGGCCTGGGTCTGAGGAGGAGGCTGGGAGGACCTCTGGGTCTGAGGGAGGAGACTGGTGAGGGGCCTGGGTCTGAGGGAGGAGGCTGGAGTGTGGACCCCTGGGTCTGAGGAGGAGGCTGGGGTCTGGACCCTGGGTCTGAGGGAGGAGGGCTAGAGTCTAGACCCTGGGTCTGAGGGAGGATGCTGGGGTCTGTACCCCTGGGTCTGAGGGAGGAGGACGCAGGACAACTCATGGGTCTGAGGGAGGAAGGTTTGGGAGGACTCCTGGGTCTCAGGGAGGAGGCATAGGGTTTAAGGGAAGAGGGCCCCAGAAATCTGTCTGACCCTAGTGCAGAGACAGGTGCTGTGTTTTGCCCCCTCAGGCCTCTATCTTCCCTTCTACCCTGATTCTGCAGGTCTGGCCTAGGCCTGGCATTGGACCAGGTGCCCTCAGGACCCCATCCCTTCCTGCCTGGACTGTGAACTCATCTCCTCGAAGCCATAACATCTGAGCTGCCGGTGCAGGGCAGCCTGGGCCTGGGCCTCTGTGTCCTGGAGGTGTGAGGCTGGGAGGCCACAGGCCCAGCTCTGTTTCAGGGTGGGAGGGCCTCAGCCTCTGATGTCTGTCTTCTCTTCTCCGGGGTTCCCCCTTGAGGCAAAGGGCCATGCATGTCTGGGGGACCCCTACCCCCACCCTTCTGTCTGTCTGTCTGTCTGACTGTTCTTTGCTATTGTCTGAGTCCTGCTGTCTTGGCCCATGTCCTTACTGTGAATGTCGAAGACCAATCCTTGATGTCCCGCCAAACAGACACACCCCCCAGCATCCACCCCTTCTGTCCCCCTAATCTGAGTCTGGCCTATCCCCTGCTGCTGCTGTCAACGCCAGAATAAACACGCTCTGTGGGTCTCCCTCCACCTGGGCTCCTGTCCTCCCTGGAACTGCAGAGTGCATTGGAACTTGCTAGTGTGTGGCTGGGATGCTAAATTGTTGCTCTGAATCTTAGCCTCAAAAAAAAAAAAAAAATCCTATTTGTTGGTCATCTGTGGTACTCCTTTAGTCCCAGCACTGGGGAGGCAAAGACAGGCAGATCTCTGGAAGTTCAAGACCAGCCTGGTCTACATGGTGAAACACTGTATCCAAACAAAAAAGATACAAAATACAAGACACTCATGGAAATGAATGAACTGGGCATGTGGGCGCCTACTGCAGGCACGGTTGGATCTAGGCGTTCTAATGACTCGTCCAGGTTCTTCTCTTGTTTGACTTCATCCTGCTGTGCTTATGAGATGACCACTTGGTGCTCTAAACTTATCCCAACTTCATCTATTACAGTACTGGGGTTAGTGGAGCTGCTCAGCAGCAGGCGCTGAGCTGGTGTCCTAGAGTCTGTCCCGGCCTTCTCCTCATGAGCACAGGCTGTCTGGTGCAGCACCCGGTGCCATGTTCTCTTGCGATGGCATTCAGACACAATGGACGGGGCTGGGTGGGAGTCCTTCCCCCTTTATATATTTGTCTCATCTTTCTGCTGAATTCCAGAACTGGCCAAACTTGGTTATATAGCGATTCCGGGTTGCAAAGCATTCCAGAAATGTGGGCCTCTGTCACTTTGGCTCTCAATTGTGGCATGGGAAGAGGGATGCATGGGGTGGGGGTGGGTGCTTGGTATGTTGATAACAGAAGGTAACTACTGAGGAAACTAATAAGGACCTGTCTCCCTCAGTGGCCAGTGCATTGTGGAGGATGAGGGGGAAAAGATTCTGGTTGGGGGCTGGAGAGATGATTCAGCAGTTAAGAGCACTAGTTGCTCTTACAGAGGACCTGGGTTTGGCTCCCAGCACCCACATGGTGGCTGACAACCATCCATAACTCTAGTTCTAGGGATCAATGCTCTCTTCTGACCACCATGGGCACTGCATGGCACAGATGCACTTGCGTACATGCAGGCAATGCACTCATAATATATAAAGTAAAATTAAAAGTTTTTAGAAAAAGGATTCTGGTCGGTCCTGCCCTGGCCTTGGATGGCTAACCCGAGAAACCCTGTGTTCAGTTTGGCAAGCGTCCTGCCGGCCAACCTGACTCCTCTTCCTTCCCCCCAGCTTTTGCCCCAATGGTAAGTGTATCTCCTTGAATTCATAGTTTTCAGTCAGGACCACAGAGGACGGTCCCAAAAGATGTGCACAGTAGTGGAGAGAGACGGACAGACCCTCCCGCATCTGTTACAATCCACTGCTTTCTCTTCCTCTGGTGGCCATGACTTCAAAATGGCAGGCAGAGCACACAGGAAACTGGTTGGTTTCTGGAGTCAGAAGTCAAGTTGTCTTTGTTGCTTGCACCCATGGCTCAGAGGGAGAGTCCACCCACCACCTCTCCCTCAGTGACTGGCACCGTGGGAGATCCCGGCACCCACATGGCAGCTAACAACCCTCTAACTCCAGTACCAGGGGATCCAACAGCCTCTTCTGACCTCCTCGGGCATTGCACAACACAGGTGCCCTTATCTACATGCAGGCCATACACTCATACACATAAAATAAAAATAATAAAATACTTTTTAAAAAGCTCTGATACAGGGGCTGGAGAGATGGCTCAGTGGTTAAGAACAATGGTTGTCCTTGCAGAAGACCGGGGTTTGAATCCCAGCACCCACATGGCAGCTCACAACTGTCTGCAACTCCAGTCCCAGGGGATCCGACAGCCTCTTCTGACCTCCTCGGGCATTGCACGACACGGGTGCACTTATCTACATGCAGGCCATACACTCATACACATAAAATAAAAATAATAAAATGTTTTTTAAAAAGCTGATACGGAAAACTGGGAGCCACCCAACTTCCCACTATAAGACATCCTGACTACAGGCAAAAGGTCCTACCATCCCCGCCCCCATCTCCCCTTCTTTCCATCTCTCCCCTCTCCTCCCTTCCCCCTCCCCCCTCCTCTCCCCACCCTTCTCCTCCCCTCCCCTCCCATCCCCTTTCCTCCCCTCTCCTCCCCCATACTGACCTATAACTCACTACGTAGCCCTCAATCTAACCTTGAACTCATAGTGATTCACCTGCTGCAGCCTCCCAAGTTCTGGGACCATAGACATGAGCCACCATGCCCAGACCAGCTTCCTTCTTTTAAGGTGAACCAATATTCCATCATACATACATGCACATTCTTTCGTTCACATTCATCTAGTGTTTTGCCTTGTTGAGTTTTCACCACACTGGGAATTGACCCCAGACTCAGTGGGCTAGTTGAGTGTTCTCTGCAGCCCATGCTCACTCATCTGTTCACAGACACTGGTTACCTCCTTCCACTTTTTGGCTACTGTGAATAATGTTGCTATGGACCCAGGTGTACAAGGATCTCTGAAAAATTAGAGCAGGGCATGGGGATGCACACCTATTATCCAATCACTTGGGAGCCTGAGGAGTTTAAGACCAGCCTGGGCTACTTAAGAACTTCAAGGCCAGCCTGGAGTACACAAGACCTTGTTTCAAAACAATCTGTACATTTTCTTATACAATACATTAAACCTCATTAAGGTTTCCTGAAAAAATAATCCTGGGCACTGGTGAAGCTCAATGGTTAGAAGAACTGGCTGCTCTTGCAGAGGACTGGGGTTCAGTTCCCTGCACCCACACACCAGGCAGCTCACAACCACCTGTAACTCCAGCTCCAGGGGATCTGATGCCCTCTTCTCGCCTCTGCAGGCATTTCATGCATAGATGCCCTTATATACATGCAGACAAAACATTCATTTACATAAAATTAAAAAATTAACTAAAAATTAAAGATTCCTCACTCTACAAGCCACAGAAAAGACCCTTCCAAAAAGAACACAGTCAGGGGATGGAGAGTTGGATCAGCAATTAAGGGCACTGGCTGCTCTTGCAGAGGACCCAGGTTCAGTCCCAGTACCCACATGGACTAACCAGTATCCATAACTCCAGTCCCAGGGGATCCAACACTCTCTTCTGACCTCTATGGGCACTGCATGACACAGATGCACTTACATACATGCAGGCAATATGCACACACACGTAATAATAATATCATTAATTTTTTGGTCTTTTTGAGACAGGGTCTCCCTGTAGCCCCTGCTGTCCTGGAACTCACTATGTAGACCAGGCTGACCTTGAACTCACAGAGATCCACCTGCCTCTGCCTCCTGAGTGCTGGATTAAAGGTGTGTGCCACCATGCCTGGCAATAATAATATTTTAATAATAGTAACGTATTTTTTAATGATGGAAGGGGCCAGGGAGATGGCTCAGTGGTTAAAAGTACTTGCTGACAAGCCTGAGGATTGGAGTTTGGAGCCTCATAGCCACATAAATGCCAGGTGGGCATGGCAGCCTGCCTCTAATTCCAACCTTGGAAGGCAGTGACCAGGGATCCCCAGACCGAGCTGGCACATGAGACTAGCAATATGGGTTAGCTCTGGGTTCAACTGAGAGTCTTACTTGATGAACAAGGTAAGAGTGATCAAGGATGATGCCCATTGTCAACATGGGGCCTCCACATGTACATGCACACATGTGCACCTTTACACCATGAACATGCATGCACACAAACATATACATGGAAAAGAAAAAACTTGAGAATAATAAATGTACAGAAAAATATTGATCTGCTGTGTGTGTTGAAGCACACAGAGTCTGTGTCACAGTCCCTTCTCTCACTCAGCCACCTGCCTCAGCCTGAGACGGCAGGTGCGTGTCACCATGCCTGGTTGATTTTGTTTATTTCTATATTTATTTGCTTTTGAGACAGGTCCAAGGTAAGTGCCTCCACGTCTGGATGGTTATTGTCCTAGTTTGTTTCTTCATTGCTGTAACAAAATACTCTGAGCACTACCAACTTGGGGAGGAAAGGGTTTATTTGTCTTACATCTCCCAGGTCGCACGCAGTTCATCAGGGAGCCCAAGGTAGGAACTCAGGGCAGGAACCTGGAGGCAGGAGCTGGAGCACAGGCCATGGAGGAACGCTGCTTACAGGCTTGCTCCCCTGGCCCCTGCTCAGCCTGCTTTCTGATGCAACACAGACCCACCTACCCATAGGTGGCACCACCCACAGTGGGCTGGGCCCTCCCACATCACTCATCAAGAAGATGCCCCATGGACATGGCCACAGGCCAGTCCAATGAAGGCAATTCCCCAACTGAAGCTCCCTCAACCCAGGTGTGTCAAGTTGACACTAAAGCTATCCAGTGCAATTGACCCCTTGTCAAGTTGACACACAAACACCTCACTATTAAACTATAACCTTTCCAATTCTTGTCCCCAAGATATGATGTGAACATTAATATCACAACATAAGACAGTACAACCTTAAAAACCCACACAGTCCTTAAAGAATCCAAACACTTAAAAGTCCATAGCCTCTTTTAAAAGTCTCTTAACTGTGGGTGGGCTTCTGTAAAATCCAAAACAAGTACTGTCTTATTTCAAAGGGAAGAATCGGGCACACCTAAGCAAAACCAAAGTCCAGCAAAGTAGCTCGAGGCTGGACATCTGGGATTCACTCATGATCTTCTGGGCGCCAAAGGGTTCTGACAGGTCCACTGCTCTGACTCTGCCATCCACAGCACACACAGCTCGTCTCGCAGACCCAGGCCAGCCCCATTCCACACTTACCGCTGTCCTTGGTGGTCATCCCACAGTCCTGGCATCTCCAAAAAGCTGGGGTCTCCACTGAAACTGGGGCTGTACCTTCACCAATGGCCTCTTCTTGCCTCTTGGGGTGCAAAGCCTCAGATTCTCTCCATGACCCCTTCAATCCTGGGGTCTTCACTGCAACTGAAGCTGCACTTTCACCTGTGGCCTTTCCTGACCTCTGCGTGCCAAGCCTCAGCTGCTCTCTGTGACCCCTTCATGCTTTCAACACCAGAACCATGCAGGAGACTCTTACACATTACCAAG